TCCACCACCACTACTACTATCAATTATATCAATTTTTTCATTCAAATTTGGTACAAATATGAAAATTATGTACAAATATTTATTCTTCAATTATTTACTTTATTTGTGTTAATTATAATTATTATATACTATTTAAAATCATCAAATAACTTTTGGAGGTAGCTTATCTAGTTCTGTCTCGTCCAGTCCTAGTCGTACTAGACATACTCCTGTTATGTTCAGTCCTACCCTCTTGTCTTGTCCTGTCCAGTTATGTCATGTCCAATTATGTCTGCGTACCAAATGCTACCTCAAAGAACACCATGTCTTCTTCATCTTTTTCAGTTGGCACCATACTCGATATATATCTCTTATTTGAAGCTCTGCTGAAGAATGTCGATTGAAACCTTGAACAATGTATTAGATTTCATTTGGTTCTTGCTTTTGGAACACGATCAAATAGAATGATGATTTTTAGGTAAAAACTAAAAACAAATCTCCCTTACTGAAATCAAGTTTCAACTGACATGATTACCCTAATAACGTTCGTTTTTCAAATCATTTTGGTGTCAGTTTTCAACCTTATTACAATTTCCCACCGCTTTACACAGACCCTTGATGAAATGGAGAGGACAACTTGGATTAGTTCACACAATTTTCGACATTTGAAGAGTTTTCATTTGATTCCACTCGTATATGGGATGTATATATAGCCCAACAAGCCCAAAAATTACACAAGTTCAACCCAACTTCCCAACCCAAAGTGAACTCACAATCTTGAGTAGTGATGGCCAAACCGGCTTGGGATCGTAGGAGGACCGGAAACTGGTCCCGGTTGAAGGACCGTCGGTTACAACCCGGTTACACTTTTCGTCGTTTTTCAGGACCGAGACCGGCCGGGACCGGTTATGGGACCGGCCCGGCCCGGCCTGGTCAACAAAGTCAACATAGCCGTTAGAATGGTCAAATTAGCCGTTAGCTTCGATTTCTAGCTGTTTTTTTTCCTCCTCTTTTGCTACCAATTCACTATAAATATGCATTTCATTCCCAAATAAACATACCAACTCATCTCTTCTTCAAAATGCAAAAAACGCTTTCAATTCTCAATTGCTCGCTATATTTTGTGAATTCGACTCGTATTAATTTCTCGTTTCCACTTCACAATTCTCGTTTCTTTCTCTCTTTGTCTTACAAAATGGTCGGTGAACAAGCATCAAACGAACAAGTTCTCAACGAACACGGACGAAAGTCCAAGATTTGTAATCACTACAACTTGGTGGTTCTCACGAATGGAAAAAGAAAAGCATAATGTAAATTGTGTCAAGCTCTCCTTACAACGGAAAGAAATTATACGTTAAGGAGGCACACCGAAAAAACATGCCCAAGGTTGAGGTCAAGGGACAATTCAAGTCAACCGATACTTGAGACCCAAAATCAAATATGGTCGTATGATGCCGAGTTAAACCGACAAATGACAACATAATGTGTCAAACAAGAGGCTATTAGAAGAATTCAAGAGACCGGAACTCTTCAAATCAATCCGATACAAGATACCAATTAAAATTGATGAATAAATGTATTTTCAAATAATTTCATAATAAATTTTTGTAAAATAATGTAATTTTAATCATAATAAAACATATTTTTAAAATGTATTTGAGTGACCCATATTTTTAAAGTGTATTTTCAAACGTATTTATAATGAAACATATTTTTAAACGTATTTATAATAAAAAGTATTTTTAAACGTATTTATAACAAAACAAATTTAATAACATATTAAAAATATATTAATAACAAAAAAATTAAAAAAAACATTTTTTTAATGGGACCGGTTGGGACCGGAACCGGCTTGATATAACCGGTTATAGGTTGCCTTGACCGGTTATAGGTATTTCGACCGAAACCGGGACCGGTTATGGCCAATTAAAGAGTTCATCAGGACCGACCCGGCCCGGCCCGGCCCGACCCGATACCGGTTTTTGACCATCACTAATCTTGAGCATATGCCTATAGACCTCTACGATAAAAAATTGTGAAGCACAACATATGACCACCATAACTTCTACCTTCTCAATTCAAGATTCCTTTTCTCACTTCCCATTCAAGTTTAGACTGTAATCATAAATAAAACAAGTGAACCACAAAGGGTGATGCCTGATTGGTTTGAGTTTGGCTCCAAAGATCAAAAGTGTCTCGAGGTCCTAGGGTCAAATACAAGAAGAAACAAAAATCCCCTTGTGGCCACAGAGGTTCAAATGTGGTGACTCTGGGCTACCTGCACGTGGTCGTCCTGTGATTAGTCGGCTCGCATAGCGGATTGGATATCCATGTTAATAAAAAAAACAAGTAAATGACTATGCTTCTCAATTCAAGAATCATTCTCTCATCACTTTCCACTCTTGTCGTTTCTGAAAGTGAAACCCTAGGAATCACGATCGCATACAACAATCATGATGATAAGGGTTCACAAACTTTGTGATCTTCTTGCCCAAATGCCTATACGGCTCGCTATGTTACCTGATTGTGAAATAGTAAATATATTATATCATAGTCGTCACTGTGAAAGTGAAACCTGTTATTTGTGAATAATGTTGTTTTTTTTTTGTACATAGAGGAAAGTATAGTCCTTCAACTTTGGTCACATGGAGGTATGACTGAAAGCATTGAAGGCAATAATATAAAGTCTATAAGATTTAGTTTGCATGTTCTAAAATGACTGCCCTTGATGAGTTATCATTTAGGTTTGTGGAAGAAGGTGTTGCATGCACTAAGTTTGCTATACCATCAGAATTCACCATTGTTTGGAATATTATGAAGTCGTATTATGACGTCGAGTAGAAAAAAATTGAAGGACTACTCAGTTAAACGTTCATAAAGAGCGTCATTGACCACCGACACATGGACTTCCATCCAAAATGTTTGTTAGACTGTTTATATAGTTTTTTTTTTATTAACCTGGATATCCAACCCGCTATGCGAGCCGACTAATCCCAGGACGACCACCTGCTTTACAGATAACCTGGAGTCATCGCATTTGAACCTCCATGACCACAAAGGGATTTTTTTTCTTCTTCTTGGATTTGAACCTGGGACCTCCAGGCACATTTGACATTTGGAACCAAACTCAAACCAATCAGGCACCACCCTTAGATTTGAACCTAAAACCTCCCGGTATTTTTGACCTTTGGAGCCAAGCTCAAACAATCAGGCACCACCCTTATAGTTAATGTTTATATAGTTTTATTGTACCCATTTGTAATGCATCTAAGATATGAGCTTGGTGGCAAGATTTCAAAACAAAAATTCAAAGTTGTGTAACTTTTTATTATATGTAATTGTATTTATTGCAACTTTAAATTGTATGTATTATCATGCAAGTTGCATTAGACACGTCACTCAAAAACCAAACCGCACCACATTTTGCAGTACCACAAAATGTGGTGCAATTTGCAGGTTTGGCTCTGCTCCACTACGCTACCACCACATCACGTACATCCTATGTTGCAATCGCCAAATATCATCTATGGCAATAACATCATTCATATAGAAAAAGACTAGCATGATTCTCTTGTTATGAGAGAACCAAACACTAGAAGATCGAAAATCCTTGTCAATCACATGTTTTTGAAGCCTCCTAAATTACAAAGTAAAGAGGTTGTTTCATCTACACCTCCTCATAAACAACATTTTAGCACACGAGCCGAATGTCTCATCATGATCCATCCCCCATGACCATCAAACCAACCACCATCTGTGTAACCCTAATCTAGGTATCATTACTATCGTTATCTACATCTGTGACCAAACCACTTCAAGTACAACTAACTTGGTGTAGAATATCTATGGTCGTGGTCGTGGTCGTGGTCATGGTCATGGCCCACAAATTACTCTATATAGTGTTGTCTTTCGTAAATGATGTACCTTTCCCAACAAACCTATTATGGATAGCTCCGATACGACAAAACCATTTTAGCCATATATCTAACATAGATCAATGAACATTTGCCATAGTTGCACGGAAGCAACAAATTTCTTACACGACCATATCTTCTCTTGCTCGATAGACACTCGTCAAGTTGCATATTAATATCAAATATCTTTTTTTTTTATTAACCTGGATATCTAACTCGCTATGCGAGCTGACTAATCCCAATGTGACCACCTGCTTTGCAGATAGCCCGGAGTCACCACATTTGAACCTCCGTGGCCACAAGAGGATTTTTATTCCTCCTTGGATTTGAACTTGAGACCTCCTTGTACTTTTGACCTTTGGAGCCAAGCTCAAACCAATCAGGCACCACCCTTATGGTTAATATCAAATATCTTATGATCATTCGTTTTAGCACTACTATTTGATCATGACTGGCCATATGACTCCTATAGCCAAAAGTCTATTGAAGACCGAAGAAAGGGTGTTGGAGAGCCAAAGGGATGGGGGTTGGGTTAGTGAGCAATTTGATAGGTTACCATAGTCCTACTTTGAAAAAAAGGTATTCACTATCCTCTGGAGTGCCCCCACCCACTCATCCCACAATCATCATGAGGAAGGTAAATCACACATGTATACTATTGGCGGAGGCACAGTGCTCAAGTTCGAACTTGAGGCCTCACATGTATGGATTACACCCATAACTCTATGTTATGCTAGGAGTTGTGTAGTTTCCTTTTCGTGGCTCCTTTTGCTTACTTTTTCATGGTGTTGCTTAGTTATTAGTTCTTTTAAAAAAATCATCGCATATTTATAACCCAAGAGTCTTCACAAAAATATATGTTCTACTCTTTAGGGTCCAATCGTACAAGACAAGTCTGTGTTATCCTACCAACGGACCCCCCCCCCCCCCCCCNGGCTGGGTATATTGGGATTTGGGCTCGTTAGATTTGGTTTGCTAGCAAAAGCCATAACTCAATTTGCGACACAAAGCGCACTATAATATCTGAATATATCTACAGGTAACCATGGCATATCCCCTACACCCCACATTATGATTTATGAGGCATAGTTAGCCAACCATAGACCATGCACAACCAATCTTACCTATGAACTCAAGAAAACATCAACTACCATAAGCATTGGGTATATGACAAGCAAGACCATGAAGCTGGATTTGCGGACCTTGAAGGGAAAACTGCTTGTATCCAAAGTTGTCAATCTTGACCATGGGTTTCCCTATATGATTTTAGTTAAGGGAATATATATAGTTGATCCTGAAGGAAACAAGAGAAGGAAGAAAATATTACTGGTGAGAGCTGAGCTTATGATGCTGAGATGAGTACTTAAAGCTTCCGAGCAGCTGTATGTTTTGCTGGTTTCACAAAAAGGCACATAACTGTTGCAAGGTCATCTTCGTCCAGTTAAATACCCGACCTTCACATTTTTAGAAGTGAGCCCCACATGGTCAACCTGAGCCCTCTTCCGGGACCCTTTGGAACAAGGGGTCTTTTCGTCTTCACCATCATCTGTGTCTACTAACGTACAGCCTGACCTGGTTTGTATGCTTATTCGTCTAGGGAGGTATACGTTGAAGTAATAGCTCATTATGGTATTATGTGACTTTGATGGAAAACATTCCAAGGCAGATTTTAAAAAGTTCTTACCTTCTGAAATTGGATTCGTTTTCACAATGCGCACAAACTTCTGCTGCTCTGATTGCTTCCATATCTCAGCAACAGCTTCTCCCATCTCATCAAACTTCCAAATTCGGAACGCAGGTCCCAGTTCTTTCTGAAGATGGGCTCGTTTCTCAGCGATGTGACGCTTGACACAGAGGATGGATCCAGGGGGGTAGCAATCACAACAGTCAGGTCTCCCTCTCCCAATTGCATCCCTGTCGGTTTCTGGGATTGTATTTTCTTTTGAACAAATTACGGTGCCCAAAAATTTTGAAGAGTCGGATTTGCTGAGATTTTTGTGGGGGTACTTCCTTTGAGGAGGTCCATTCCACTCTGGCACATCAGCCTGAAATCTTGGTCCAATAGGGATAACTAATTTTTGACGCTCCTCTAGCAAGAAACTGAACCGGTCTTTTGTAGCTGATTTCTGATGTTTTGGCTTCTTCATGGTTGAAAAGCTCAGAATTTTTATGTAACTGAATGCAATACTCTAGATTCAATGCATCAGAATATCGCCCTTGAAGTGAATTCGTTGCACAAAGATACTTTCCTGATTATAATTTTTTTAGCAAAGGCGTTAAGAAGTGTCCCCCCTACTCCTTGGCATCTTTAATTATCCAGCTTAAGAAAGTGCAAACACATAGAATAGATGATGAACACTGTACTTCGTATGTCCTCTGAAACAAAACAATATAGAACTTATTAAACGATGTGGTAGTACGTACGGCTGGAATGCAATAAAACATAAGAACAGAATAGGGCATCGTTTATAAGGTGGAATGTAACTATTATTCAACAATGTGATAATTTGTTGTATGAGAAAAATGACCTATAAGCCATCCAAAAAGTTGCAATGACAAACTGTCTAGAGAAGACATGAGATGAAAAAGTGTAAAGGATTCGCACCAGCAATCTTGTGCTTTCGTTCTCACTTCTCATTCAACAAAAAGATGATTTCATTTTGTCCTATCCAAACAAACTGACCCGCTAGGATTCTGTAGATAGTCTAACTTGAAACACTATACTTCAAGCAGTTTCACATAGTCACCTTTAACAGACAGCAGCATATAGCATATGAATGAGTGTGCTTATTTCAGCGACTATAAGGATACAATTATTCACAGCAAAAGATAACACGGTGGAGAAGGATCTCAAACTGCAAGTTTGAGTTTAAGAACCCAAACTGCACATCTGACACCTGTAAGCTAGGGTTAAAATCTCTTCCCTTCTCGAAGTACATACAAGGAAGAAATTCATTATCCACATTAATATGACCAAAACTGTTAAAATAATTTCATCCATCATTTGTATGGACTTACATTCCCTTTTTTGATGTTCTGTTGGTAAGCCCCAGTTACAGTAAGAAATTAAGAAATCAATTACGTTAGAGAATATTGCTACTTATTTGCAAAATGACACAAGAAAAAGAATATCAAGCAAAAAAAACACAGGTCAAGAACAAGCCTCTTAGAAGCAAGAGTAAAACATGATGGTAAAGGAAAATTCTTGAGATATGTATTGTTGTTTGTTACTTATGAGATTTGATATGGACCAAAATGATTTTATTGATGAAACAACAAAGAAATAAATAATTACCTCCTTTTCATTCCAGGGATAAAAATCATCTGTCCAAATTTTGATGTCCACCAATCATAAGCAGGGAGAGAAAGTGAAAAAAGTTAAATAAATATAAAATAGAGGAAAATCTGATGTGTCATAATTCATTGGTCGGACAGGAATGAGACGGGTGATTTTGGAGGTTCTCTAGTAACTATAATCAAATCAAGCTCCACCTCTATTTTCTACTAATCATTTAAGCATAAAACTAATTAATTATGGTAAAAATATAGTTGCTATTCTTCCCTAATATAATTACCATATGAAAATATGGTAAAAAAATAAATATATATATCCCTTAATTACTTTCTTGAATAGAGCCAATCAATTATGGAAAATATTTCATAGAACATATCAATTAGTGCAAGAAATAGCATTTCAATACATTTTTTATCATCATCATGCAAAAAAACATCATTATGCAAAAACAATCATTTTGAGGTCTCAATGTAGCATATGCCACATAGCTTCTTAATGGGGCTCCCAGTGCTGGCAAGTCCCCCCCCCCCCCCCCCCACCCCCCCAAAGGCATCAGTTTGTAAGGCAGACCTCATTTGATTCCCACGTCTAAAAAAATACATTTCCGGCCATACTTCTTTTTATTAACCTGGATATCCAACCCGCTATGCGAGCCGACTAATCCCAGGGCAACCACGTGCTTTGCAGGTAGCCCGGAGTCACCGCATTTGAACCTCCGTGGCCACAAGTGGATTTTTATTCCTCCTTGAATTTGAACCTGGGACCTCCGGGCACTTTTGACCTTTGGAGCCCAAACTGAAACCAATCAGGCACCACCCCTGTGCTACTTAAACATGCTTAAAAACTTTCATAGGTCACATGTGAAACATATGTCGTGATCAAAAACATATTTTGGTATATAAACATGTTATCTTTTTCATGAAAGGCAAACATGCCAAAACATATCCTCAAACTCTTCATCATGCATAAAACAGTATATATAGCACATGTATATCTCAATGAATCACATAATGTACTCACCTTATTTGCTTAGCCTCAAACTTGCTAACGTTCCTTTCTTGTCATGCTTATGACATGTATCTCAACTTCATACCTTCAAATAGCACCACTTAGCTCCTCACTTTTGACGTTCTTGGATCCTCCACTTGTAGAGAGTTTTTCTACTTTGGATGAGAGGTAAAAGGCTGAAGTTGATCACCATTTATAGGAGATTTGAATGAACTAAAGGCTGTTTAGATATTTCTTACTTTATTTGTCTTCTTAATAGAAATCTTGGTCATGACAAAAGTTTGCCATGTGTAGCCCATTTTTCCAGCTCCTTTCTCTTATCTAATAGCTAGCTAGAGCCATGCTAGTGTTCCCTTGCCTCCCTGGCTTTCATCATGAAGGATAAGATGCTTTGGTCTTTGTATTTCTTGCTTACTTGTAACTTCTACAACTAGGTTTAACATGTCATCCTTCACTGCTAGCATTGAAATAACAAGTCTTATCTTTCTTTTAAATGTTTTCATAAGCTTCAATGACGTGTAACTTATGCATCACAATTGTCTTAACGTATCATGTACATACTCGCATTCTTTTGTACATATACATGTATAATCCTTCTAACTAAGTGGTGCTACTTCAAGGTACGAAATCAAGATACAGTGCGTACTTAATCAATAGGATGCCTACTAAAGTTCTACAACACATTACTCCATTTGATTGCTTAAAAAGGGTATTCCTGAAATCTGGAATTAATTCCGACTTACCCTTAAAAGTAATTGACTGTGTAACATATATGCACACTCCAAAGATGCTAAGGTCTAAGAGAGCGTTTGGTTTGTTTCAAGGAATGAAAATGGGATTTATAATCGAAATAGGGTAGAATAGGAATCATTGTTTTCATTCCATTCTATTATATTAATGTGGATTCCTTGAAATTAAATTAATAAAAGAACAAAAAAAAAAAACATGACAAACCACCAGGCACCCACCCCAAATCATTACATCATCTTCATCTTCCCAAAGCACTTTCTCGGGTCCTACAATGCATCTTCAACTTCACCACCACAACAAGCATCTCCAACAACAACACAACATCTTCTTGATTCCATCTCCATTTTCATCTCCATCTTCTTAGTGCCATCTTCACCTTCTTTTCATTTTCACATCCATTATTTCATCCACAAACACAAAATCAGAATCATCCCCGTCTCTTATTACATCTACAAACACAAAATCAAGAGGGACGAACTCAGATCTGTTTGGAGGTGCTATGCTGCCTGGGGGTGGGGCTAGGTTCACAAGAGATGGACGAACTCAGATCTATCGGCTGCTTGTGATAGGCTGCAGAGGTGGAGCATAATGGTGCATTGGTGCTGCCATGGAAGACTGGAAGGCGTGAGAGGAAGACTGGAAGGCGTGAGAGGAAGACTTAAACCAAAAAAAATTCTATTTCCCCCAAATTGAGGAGGAATGAATTTTTAACCAAATCTATTATAATGATTGATTAATTTTCTGAAACCAAACATCGTTTTTCATTCCATTTTCATTCCTTAATTGAACCAAACATAATTAATTATTATCATTTCCATTCATTACCTTTTAATACCCCAAGTACTTGGTAGTATAATCTTTGGAGAAACAATCCCCGGGCTCCTCCCAGTCCCACTGCTTGGGAGCTTATGGTTCAAACACACCCTAAATTAGATACAGGAGCTGAAAGTGTGCTTTTATACATGTACTCGAGGTGAAATTAAGAAAATTGGTTCTTTCTACATTGCCCTGTTTCTTTTAACATTTGTCCTCGAGAATGCTTCTTGTCGCGAGGGTAACGAAGTCTTCTTTATCGTAACTAGGTGTGTTATTCGGTTTTTTGTTTTTTTGGTTTTCAACATTCTCCGAACTAATGTACAAGCGAACCGAATAAGGTTTTTTTTTGTTCGCTTCAGGTTATTCGGTTCGGTTATTGGGTAAATGGAATAAGGGTTTTATTTTAATAAGGTTCTTTTAGATATTAAAAATATTTATGAAAATACAAATATAATTAAAATTTTGAATATAGAGTTGAAACTCAAAACCGAGGAGGCGGGAGAAAGTCTAGATAGAATTAAACTATTTCTTAAATTTTAAGATAATATATAAACATAAATCGTAAAAAGTTAATAATATAATAATATAATTCCTTATTCGATTGAACCAAAACCGTACAAAAATAATTCAAATTTGAACAAGAAAAAAATGAATAAGGAATTATAACCGAACCGTAGAAACCGAAAACCAAATAACATGAACCATTTAACTCAAACTACACGTTCAGATGGGTTATTCAGTTTAGATTTTTTCGACAACCCTAATTGTAACTCATTATCATAGAGTTTTCTAAACTTCCAGAAAACTTTTTTGGATTTTGGCTTATCGAACCCATGTCTCCTTGCCTGCCAAAAAAAAGTCAATTGCTCCTGTATTAACCCATAGTTTGGCCCAAAGTACTTGAAGACATCGTTATCACATCTGCTCTAATCTCACGGCTCAATTCTTTCACGAATTGACTCGCAAAACTTCTTTGAAAATATCATTCAAGGGTGTTGTTAACTATACACATTTCCTTTTGTAATCGCGGTCCAGTTCATCATGTTTTACAGTCAAAAAGTGTTCCAATAACATCCACACCCCACTTATTGAAGGAAATTGCTATAACAGTAGTCTTTCCGATTCTCTACACAAAATAATAAGAGTCCGACTCTTTTGTTCCTGTTGCAACCACAGTATTGCGTCGCATTCAAAAGAAACGATTGCAAGTTGTAACCTCCGGTTGTTCTTCACTCTTGATGCAAAATTACCTTTTGGCTCGTAAGATCCATCCTTCTATATTAGATCCATTGAACGTGCCAATTCAAGCTTTCTACCATTATTAAATCCACAAAATCGACTGTACCCATGGTACTCATCAACATTATCTCGTTTCTTGTGATTCAAATTTGCACTTTTTTCCTCAGTCAGTAGCAGTACACATGCCCTTGGTTTAAAAATGCGCGCATAATGCGCTCTGATGCGTGATGCGCTCTGATGCGCTGGAGGTAACGCATCATATGGGCTG